ATTTGTGCTGATAAATAAATAAAGGGCACAAATATCAGCACAAATAAAAACACAAATATAACAAAGGCAACAGTAAAAATATTGGGTTTCTGTCGTGATGGACTCTTGTGACGAGCCGATTGACAGATGATGGAAGCAGTTAGCTTCCTCCCATAATTGGATCTTACCAGGGGTTGTGACTCTAAATATATATATATGTGTGTGTGTGTGTGTGTGTGTGTTTTATTTGTGCTGATAAATAAATAAAGGGAGACTAGTATAGATCTATTTCAAGCTATTTAGCTCTCATCAGCTAGCCATACCCTTACTGGGATTCGAACCTGTGCTGTATTGCATCTTAGGCGAACGTCTTAGCCTTTAAGCCACAGGTCTCCTCCTTATCAGCTGAAGCCAGGGAAGAAGGTATATATTTAGAGTCACAACCCCTGGTAAGCCTCAATTATGGGAGGAAGCTAACTGCTTCCATCATCTGTCAATCGGCTCGTCACAAGAGTCCATCACGACAGAAACCCAATATTTTTACTGTTGCCTTTGTTATATTTGTGTTTTTATTTGTGCTGATAAATATATATATCATGCTGTATCATTATCCAGAAGAAAATACAGTTGCCTCTTATAGCCAGCACTGCTAAAGGAATTGAAGAGCATTTCAAAAGCCCTGTATCTTCAATCTAGAATTCCATCCCTAATCTACTTAACATAAAAGAGCCTGCTTGAATTTTGAACAACAGGAATCTGATTCAAATCTAATTGGTTTTGATGCAATTCAATATCCCCATTCCACAGAGGAAATGTAAAATGCTCTACATTAGTGCTTGAGAATCACTGATCCTTATCTAGGATTCTGGACCAATGTAATATAACTGTTGTGGCCCACTGGCAGCCAGCACAGCTGGCAGCAGAGTCAGACAGTGAGGAGGTTGGGGGAGGAACATGGGCCAGTCCTGGGGGATTGAGGAAAGCTCAGACAAGGGCTCTGAATCAGAGGCAGAGAGACAGCAGTGAGGCTGTTCCCAGTGTGCGCATGCAGAGAGCTGCCAGAAGGACAAGAATAACTAAGAAAGCAGGATCGACTTAGGAGTAAAGCCAGACCTTGGAGTTGATTGGCCCCTAAAAAGAGGAGTGAACAGGGAGTGGGCTTTTGCAGGAAACCATTCATTCATTCAGTCATTTCAAGAGTGGAAAGTTCTGTTTGTGACTATAAGAGACTTTGTGCCAAGTTTGCCTTGCTCTGCATTTGCAAACTAGTTATCTGGAAGCGCTCCAAATGAGATAAGGTGTGTGTGGATAAACACTCCTTTGAAAGACTGTTTGCTAAGCCTTGCTGACTGTGAATGAAAGGAATTCACAGTCGTATAAATAAAAGAGGTTTTGCCAGGACCAAGACTTTGCTTCTTGCTTTCTAGGAAGTCTGGTTCAGAACAGTAACAGAGACAATGCTGGGTTTCAACTGGAAAGATTGAGGTCCCATGTGTGTCTTATCTTCAGTTCTATTCTTTTGCTATCAGTCTTTCCCTGAGTGACATTTTTGGTTCTTCTCCACAGATGACCATGCACGAGTCCACCTCACCCTCAAGCAAGAAGATCCCTATTCAGACTACATCAATGCCAGCTACATACCTGTATGTCTTCGCTATTGTCTTTTAGGGATGCAATAATGTTGGCTAAGAGGGCTGAAGAAGTAGATTGAAGCCAATTTGGAGTCCCCAAGTAACCCATTCTGGAACATGTTTAAAGTACTCCAAATCAACCCTAAATGCCAAGATGAATAATGTACAACCCTGGTATTAGATGTTGTATCCAGAAGCCTTTCATAATTGCTAGTGAATTACCATTTTTAGTGTGACAGAAGGGAGAAAGGATTAAACAATGGACCATAGCCATATTCAGAACAGAATAGCAGAGTTGGAAGGGACCTTGCAGGTATATTCTAGTCCAACTCCCTGTTCAGCAGGAAACCCTATACCATTTGAGACAAATGTTTGGCCAATCTCTTCTTAAAAACCTCCAAGACTGAAACAACCACAACTTCTGGAGGCAAGTTGTTCCACTGATTAATTGTTCTATTTGTCAGGAAATTGCTTCTCTCCTTGCTTAGTTTCTATCTGTTGCTTCTTGTCCTGCTTTGAAGGTGCTTTGGAGAATAGCTTGACTCCCTCTTCTTTGTGGCAGCCCCTGAGATATTGGAACATGCTATCATGTCACCTCCTAGCCCATCTTTTCATTAAACTACACCTAATCAATTCCTGCAACCGTTCTTCATATGTTTTTAGTCTCTATACAGTAGCTGTTGTAAACAAACTCAGTTAATTTAGCTTAATGGAAAGTAAGTCCTATTTACAAAAGACAAACAAGGCTAGCACATTATAATTGTGCAGCACAATGGATGTCTTTGTTCCTTCTCCTGTGTACAGAGCTAGATATGTAGCTGCCAGGGAGTAGGAATCATGAATGCAGAGTGTGACATTCAGTTTCCCTTTGCTGAGACTTTATCATAGTTTTTTTTCCAACCTGGTGTCTTTTGGATGTGTTGAAGCATCCTCCAATTTTTTTAAAACTTCTGAGACAAGCTTTTCCACTGTTTAAATGTTCTGTCAGCAAATGTCTGCTTAGTTCTAGGTTGATTCTTTCCTTGATTAGTTTCCACCCATTGCATCTTGTCCTGCCCTTAGGAGCTTTGGAGAATAAGTTGACTCC